ACGCAATTAGAGGCATCCGCTTCCAATCCCCGTCAGCTCTGAATCCGATCAAGATGGGTTTGATGAAGCTCTGGTCGACTTTGAATTGGGAGGATGAATCTTATCCGGCTTACGAAGACTTCGTCGCGGTGCCCTTCTTTGTGTTGTTCTTCCCCACTGCTAGATTCTTCCTCGATAGATTTGTATTTGAGGTTCGATTAATTTTGTTTTTCTTTTTCTTGGCTTCGTCTATTGCTTGTGCTTTCTATTTATTTTCCTCAATATTCTTTTATTGGGTTTAGAATGATGCCTTTGCCGGTATGGGATGGGTGGTTCTTTTTTTCCTTAAAAGTTTGGATTTATTCCTTATATTTGTCGCCTTTCTCTCCCTTGTGAAAGCTTTGTATGTCAAGGGTTTAGAGTCGACTTTGGTGCTCGGAAGTATCTTTTCGTCATGAAATCCTTAATCTGCCACGCGTTGAAATAATGTTTTACTAATACCTAATCAATTGACAGCACAAGTTTGTGGTTATTAGGAGCTTTGTTTAGTACAACTTATTGAGGCATGCTTGGCAGATAATTGCAGAATGTGCTGGTGTTGCTAGGCACAGTTTGTGGTTATTAGGCTAGCTATGTTTAGTACATCTTTTCCAAATTCCGCATATTGTGTGCTAGATGGTTTTTCTTCCTTGGTAATCATGCATATTTATCATTTACCATGTGTAATCATGTCAGCGGGATCCTACATCTTTTTGTTTGCAATGTTGATGGGATGCTCATATCTCAAAATATTATGAGCATGAAAAATAATAGTCTCCAGTTGTCACTGTTTCTTATACAGTATTATACTAGGGAACTGAGAAGAGTTCTGAGTATTAATATTTCTATTCACGCACACCATTCTATATTCTATACTTGCATCTTGTGATACTTTTCTTTCATTTCTTTCATTTTTACCATGCACAATGTGGTGTTATTGTGAACTTGCACCTTATCATACTCATTATATCAAGCTCTGTATAGATGTAGAACTTGATGATATTGCTACTTTATAATATCTAGAGTTTATTGTTGGTAAGGAATTTTTTTTCCTTCCATATGATAAATTTTTCCTTTTTTAGTTTTATCAGTTGCTTGAGGAGGCTATGTAGAGAGCAATTAAATATTGAATTATATTAAATTAAATAATAATAATAATAATAATAATAATAATAATAATAATAATAATAATAATAATAATAATAATAATAATAATAATAATAATAATAATAATAATAATAATAATAATAATAATAAGAAGAAGAAGAAGAAGAAGAAGAAACAAGGGATGGTGGCGAAAGTATATTTTCTTAGATATATTTTTAACTTTTGATGTACAGAAGAACTTGAAGATTTAAAGTTGAATTCTTCCAATCAGTTTAAAATGTTTCATTTTGATCATAATTTGTTAATATATTTTCATATTTACTTGATCTTTCTTTAACTTTGATATTTTATTTTTGTCATTTTATTTAGTTTAATGTTCTCATTAAAGTTTATTTTCTATCATTAGCAATAAAGTTATGTACCTTTGTTCATCAACTTATAAATACTAGAAAACTTTGTTTTTATTTTTTTATTTTAATGTTTTTAATGTTTTTTACTTCATATGGAGAAGAAGAAACAAGGGATGGTGGCGAAAGTATATTTTCTTAGATATATTTTTAACTTTTGATGTACAGAAGAACTTGAAGATTTAAAGTTGAATTCTTCCAATCAGTTTAAAATGTTTCATTTTGATCATAATTTGTTAATATATTTTCATATTTACTTGATCTTTCTTTAACTTTGATATTTTATTTTTGTCATTTTATTTAGTTTAATGTTCTCATTAAAGTTTATTTTCTATCATTAGCAATAAAGTTATGTACCTTTGTTCATCAACTTATAAATACTAGAAAACTTTGTTTTTATTTTTTTATTTTAATGTTTTTAATGTTTTTTACTTCATATGGATACCAGGTTGTAATTATCTGTGAATTACTTGCTTTTCTGGGTGGATGGTATATTCGGAAAAAATCACCATAAAATTGCTTGTTCAATGCTAAATTTCTTCCCTAATTTTTATTATCTGGGAGATAAAGAAGTAGGAAATTTCCCTGAAATATCTGTCAATGATTGCTATGTTGTGTTTAACTTTGAGTTTTTGCTATAATTTGCATGGCCATGTCTTAGAAATGTTGCATTCTTGTTGCTAAGAAAAATTTTTTAAGCAAAGTTTTTAATTAAGTTTACCTTCTAGCTTCAATTCGATACAATTGCAAGATGTTTCTGATGTTCTGTCTTTTTTTGTAGAGGTTGGGCAGGCGATGCATTTTTGGAAGAAGGCATGAAAATAATGATGATGGGTTACCTGGAAAAACAAAGAAAATAAGAAAGTTTAAGGAGTCTGCTTGGAAATGCATCTATTTTCTTTCCGGCGAGCTTTTGTCTCTGTACGTTACATATGATGAACCATGGTTTACAAACACCAAATTCTTTTGGTTTGGACCAGGGGAGCAGGTCTGGCCTGACCAAAAAGTAAAGTATGATAAACATATACATTTTCAATTAGTTCATCATGTTAACATTATGTCTCGAAAATTATATTTTGATTGATTTTTGTTCTGCAGACTGAAACTCAAGGCAGTTTACATGTATGCTTCTGGTTTCTACGTATACTCCATTTTTGCATTGCTCTTCTGGGAAACAAGGCGGTCAGACTTTGGGGTGTCTATGTCCCATCATATTGCAACCGCCTTTCTCATAATGCTATCTTACATATTCAGGTTGAGATTCATTTTAAACTAGCTGTAGATTGATAGCCACTGTAATGCTTTTTTCATTCCTTTCCTGTGTACTTCTTCTACTTTCTGGTACACTTGCTTTGATTTTTGTAGATGTGCGAACTTTTATCTTTTTACTCGGTAGTCCATATCTGTTTAGACATTGTATTGGTTTGCTATCATTCTTTATAAACTGCTATAAGTTTAGGATTTATAGTGTTTTTACTATAAGAAGAGGGTGGGGAGACCTAGCAAGAATTAGATTGTCTTGACATGTCCGAAAATCACAAATACGAAACATTTATTTAGCCTCTCTGTAATTCAAGGAAACTGCTCACATCTTTAACTCTAGAAGTCTTGCTGTCATTTATGAACTATGGAGATGGACATAACACAATATGGCATGGTGACACAACTTTTCTCTATAATCATAAATTGTAAGCTACAATACACTATTTATGCTATTATATTTCATAAATTATTAAACTATTTTTTTTATTATTTTCTACTAAAGGCATCTCCTAACGATGTATGATATCATATACATATATTTCACAAAAGAAAATTGGCATTGACAAAAGAAAAATGAGGAGTGTTAAAAAATAATAAAAAGTTAATCATCATATGGGGAAATTATTTTTGTTAACAGCACTCCGATTGCGTTAATTAATTTTTTTCTTATTGTCATGTTTTCTATCATTATTAATATTGCTTAAAATTATCGAAATACTTTTATAAATTTATATACCAGTGCCCTCTTCAAAATAATAAAACAAAATATGAATCTAAAACATGTGCCAACACAAACATGAATTTATTTAGAAATGTTTGTACTTTGGAGGGCCCATCATATACCCCACCTTTTACTTGAAAAATTTATGATACTTAAACCATCATAAAAATGAATCACTTAATTTTTCAACTAGATTATTTGAATTATCAACATCAAATTCGCTAATGAAATATGTATTATGTTTTATTAATCATAAGTGTTGTTTAGTTCATTGAGATTTGCCAAATTGTGTAGTATTATTAGGAAATGTCAGCCTCTTCGGATTAATATTGCATACCCTTCCCTCCAATACCATTTTTGGCCCACCACATTTTCCCCTCATTCAAATTCAATCTAACGGCAAACTTCACAGCAAATTCATTAACAAGCTCCACTAAACTCTACCTTTTCAAAGTTAAACCTCTCTTAATTACAATCCAAATCATGATTCAACTTTACCCGACCAATGGCTATTAATGTCCAAAATTTATCGTAACAATTCTAAACTAAGACAAGACAAGAGGTTGAAAATTTTTATGTTATTATTTTCTTTTTCAAACTTGAATTTTGTGCTCTCTGGTTATTAGGAGATCTTTATGAATTTATTTTTGCTTTATTGTTGATCTTAGTAAATTGAAATTATTATGCAAAGATGAGCAACTGGGAGCACTTTAGAGGCATTAAATGATGATTAAAAAAGGTTGATCACATTCATTTGATGAGCTAAATGACAAATCTACATATCTAGTGATTGCCTTGTACTTAGGTGCCAGGTTGTTATAATTTGTGTCTAGTGCCTTGGCGTTTTCTAGCACTTGCGCAAAAGATTGTCGAGCTTTGACTATTAGAACCAAGATGATGGCGCATTGGTACTAGCATTAGCTCTTAGGTGCCCATTTCATGATAACAATTTTAGATTGATGAAATTTACGAGATGCTTACCTATTTGGGAGGCAGATTGGAAGGATTATAAAAAAAGAAATCTAATGTATGGGGCCAAATTTTTTGATGTATTTCTAAAAAAGAGAAATCAAGAAGACTAAGATATGACGGGGGCACCTAGCATGAAAGTAAAGCCGCCTTCGACTATTATTCCTTCAATATTTTTTTTGTCATTAGAAACAATCATGAAGATTGTATTTTAATTTGCTGTAAACTATTCTTCTATTTTGGGAGTTATGTTGGAATCTCCACATGATCCTTGATTGAATTAATGCTCTTTCCGATGGTTGTTTTCCTTGGGTTGTTTGGTTATATTTGCTTTATTAATGCTTATTGGCTGACTGACCATCAGTCATTTTGATTTAATAAACTATAATAATTTTTAAAGAATTGTTAGTGTTTAGAACTTGGATAGATTTATAAGGTGCTCAGCAGAGATAGAAACATACCCATATTTCACGTGTAACCATTTGGAAGCTCTTTTAATTTAGTCTACATAGCCATATCGTCTACCAATTGCTGGCAGAAATGTGTAGATTTATTTTGGTATGGCATTCACCGGAGAACATGCTTATCATGGGAAAGTTTAGTTACTCATGTAAAGTGATTGATGGGAGGAAAGCATAAACTATTATTTCGTTTGTCCTAGTCTGCTCATTTTATAATTAACTTTTATTTTCCGAATTTCAGTTTTATTTCATATATTATATTTCAATAAGTTATTGTGTAAAATTTAAAAATGATATAAATTGGTACTTACTAGTGTTGTTATAATGATTAATCATATAGCAATGATACTATCTCATCGCTTATTGCTTATTTGACTATGCCCCATTCGTTTTAAATTTTGCAACCCTTCAAAGCATTGTATATCATTTTGGTTATTCATGCAATAATTACTTCAGTTATATTCTGTAGAGTGCACTCAATATAAATTTTGTTTACAAGTTAATTTCCCAAACTTACCTTTTACAAACATATTTATATAACCATATCAATTTTTTAATCTAGTTTTTTTTTCTTGTATGTGACCAAAGAAGAGGGGTAATTGGGTATTAAGATTCCTAACTAGCCACTTGATTTTTATGCGATTCATTTCAGCAAAACCTATGTCCACACTTAGGTGCCCAACGCAACCTAATATTCCTATAGTCGAGTTGATGTAATAAGAAAACTGAGGGGAAATGATGGAAATCACATTAGATACATAAAACACATGAAATCGTCCCAAAACTAGAGCAAACCAAGCCAAAGGATGGGTAGAACCTGGCGGTAAGAATAGATGGATGGAGATAAACCTTGACCCAATATTCAACGCAAACAAGAACGTTGGTATGTGACCTTCACCCTTTGTTTGTCATGAGAGAATAACCTTGTACAATGGTTGACGCCACAAATGGGTGGAAATCCATTTGATAAGTTGGGGAAGAACTCCTTGGAAGATGGCCAAGAAGTTCGGTTGGATTCCTAAGAGAAACCGTTGGAACGCAATTAAATGCAAATTTTTACCCAAATAAAAGTCATCTTAGTCTCATTTGAAATAAAGCCTATTTATAGGCTACTTACAAGAAAAAGAAGATAAAATATCTTCTAGAAGAGAAGAACAAAAGAAAACTAAAGTTGGCATGCCAACCATTATTAAGCAGCTAGAATAAGACGAAATATCCAACCATAATATTATGACTCATTTATCCTTGGGCTTGGATTATGTTGACAAATCTTCGTGGCTCTTTCTCCTTAGACCCCCATGAATTGGCTTGAGTCTAAGCCTCTTGAACTAATCCATAAGAACTTCTTTAAATCTTTTTGCACGACATCTAGTAATTGACCCACATGGAACTTGAATTAAATCTTCTCTTGAAGTCGTGTCATTGTTATCTATGCTATCATTTGCATCATTCCCCTCCCTTGAAAAGATTTGTCCTCAAATCAGTCCCTGCATCAAAAGGACTTAAATCAGTAACATTGAAAGTGACACTCACATTATACTTACCTGGTAGATCCAACTTGTAGCTCTTACACTCAAGTATTTGGAAAGGATCATCTCCTCTTGGAAGCAGTTTAGAACGCCATTGTTCTGAAAACCATTCCTTTCTCATGTGTAACCAGACCCAATCTCCAAGTTCGAAGATCATTTTGTGACGCCCTTGGTTGACATGCTTTTCATATTGCTTTGTCCTTTGTTCAATATTGAGTCGTGCCTTCTCATGTATTTGCTTTATAAACTCAGCCTTTTTCTTACTATCCAAGTTAACATGCTCAAAAACAGGTAATGAAATTAAATCAAATGGCGTTAGAGGATTAAAACCATAGACAATTAAAAAAGGTGAAAATTTAGTAGCAGAATGAACAGTTCTATTCTAAGCAAACTCAACTTGTGGTAAACAGTCTTCCCGTGTTTTGATATATTTCTGTATGATTGCCCTTAACAAAATAGACAAAGTCCTATTTACTACTTCAGTTTGACCATCGGGTTGTTGGTGACAAGTAGTAAAAAACAACAATTTGGCTCATAACTTACACCATAAGGTCTTCCAGAAGTAACTCGAGAACTTAATCTCTATCGGAAACAATTGTTCTAGGCATACCATGTAATCTTATAATCTCTCTAAAGAACAAATCCACAATATTTGAAGCTTCATTAGTTTTGTGACATGAAATAAAATGTGTCATTTTGGAAAATCTATTCACCCCCACAAAAATTGAATCTCTACCACATTTAGTCCTAGACAAACCCACCACATAGTCCATAGAAATATCAATCCATGGTGCATTAGGAATTGGTAAAGGAGTATACAAACCGTGGGTTGCACTCGAGATTTAGCTTGTCGACATGTGACACTTACCATAAATCCTCTCGACATCCCGCCTCATGTGTGGCCAATAGAAGCGCTCTTACAAAACAACTGAAGGCTTTGCAACTCCAAAATGTCCCATTAATCCCCCTCCATGAGATTCCTGTACAAGCAATTTTCGCAAAGAACTTTTAGGCACACAACTTATTTTCTGGAAATAGGAACCCATCATGCTTAAAGAATTTATCTCGAGCTGTTTTCTTACAAGCTCGATATTCATCACAGAAATCAACATCATCAATGTATAAATCTTTAATATGTTCAAAACCAAGTAGCTTTGCATCAAGAGTAGATATTAATGCATACCTTCGAGAAAGCATCAACGACCACATTTTCCTTACCTTGTATCGAATGACATGAAAATGTCTCAATGAACTCCACCCAATGAGCATGCCTTTTGTTTATCTTGTGTTTACCTTTCACGTGTTTAAAGG